GATACTATAAGAGTACACGCGAAGGAATGATTAGATATTCTAAAATAGTACGTGAACTTCAAAAATAATAAATATATGTGAAAATCTCTGCTGAAGGTGATCCTTACCAATTTACTCTCTTTAAGCTTTTATTGAAATCCTGATTCTTTGTTTAGATAAATATATTTTCAGCCAATCACAGATAATATGGGTGACGAATATTTGTAAATATTATCAAAATCCACATCTGAACGAATTAAAAAATCTCAAATAATTTCGTCATTTGTACTTTAAATTGTTCATCATTCAAAAAAAAAAAAATATTATTATATTCATTTTATTTTATTTATATTTTATTATTTCCTAATTTTTTGCAGTTATTGCGATTTTTTATGCTGAATCATGTGATCCAAACAATCGTGGGTAAAAAAATTTTTCTTAAATAATTCCGCGATCGTAATTACAGAAAAAGTATTTTTATTTTGAAGACCATACAAGTAAGTATTAACTTTATTTATTTGTCTACATTGTTTTAAAAGAAGAGAGAGAATAAATACAAATAAATAAACATGATGATGATAATAATAACAAATAAACCAGATTAACCAATCGGAATTTCAAAATTCAAAAAAAATCTTTGTCAACACACATAATACTATGATCTAATAGTGTTTATAGATACTACAAATATTTTTTATACATTAACGATGGTGAAGGTGGTCAAACCTCATTATAACGAATTTTATTATTATTATTATATGTTTTTAGCAAAAATGAAAAATGTCAAAAATTAGGTTACACTTGTTGTAACGAGGTTCTACAATGGTAATGGTAACATTGTACTTTACATCAATCTAAATGTCAAAAAGTTTTGTCATACATCATTAATTAATCCACCGTTTAAACATCTTGTACTACACTGTCAATTTATTTTTTAGTAAATGTGCCCTGAAACTTTAGATTAATATTAAAAGGTGTATTATGATCCCAGTTCTTTACTAGACCTGGATTTCTTTGTCATCTGCTAGCACTTATAGACCACCCACCATCCATTGCTATGAGCTGGCCATCAACAATATCTCTCGTTAATAGAGCTTGAGAAGCCTCATGCAGTTCAACAAACTTTTCTTTTGGAACTTTAGTCAAACAACTGCAAGCACAGCCTACTCC